ACTTCAATGGATGTCTTGCTTGAGTTCTACAATTGCCAAAAATTGATGGTGCTGATAAGATTGACAATCCTGTAACTCTGCAGTACCTTTCTTTTTTTTCAAGAAAAAAGGAGGGCAAATGCTATTTATGGTCGAATCCATGTTCTTTTTTTTTGTTTTGATTTGATGTCCACAGCCCATATGTTAACTTTTAGATGTGTTTGTAAAGAATCAAAAGGAGTTGGCCTAATGCCAATCATTTTTGTCGTCTTTTTCATTCTTTATATTTATACTAGGTAGCATGCACGTGCGTTGCTACGGGATAACTAACAATTTATACTAAAAACACATGGATCGCACGATAAGATAACAATACTGTAAAAATTAAATACCAACGTTAAAGTGACATTTAATCTAAAAAATAAAGTTTATGAATTTAACACAGTTACGGAGTGCGCGGCGTCACAGGCTCATAAACTCTACTTTATAGACCTTTCCGTAATGCGGCTAAGATAATGTTTTCAGTAGCTTTGCGATATTGTCCGAAGCTATGAGATAATTGATGTCTTGTAATAATCCTTTCATTAATTTAGTTTTCTATCTATGTTTAATTGTTTATTCAGTCTATTTTATAGGCACGTCGGTAGATAATGGATGACAAAATTCAAGCATCCATAATTTATCTCTTTGACTTTTAGCATGAGTTTTGTTTTTATTTTTTAATTGATATATTGTCCTTTTGTTTTTATCGTAGCGTTAGCACGGGCATGCATGAAAAACGAAGATGTCTTTACACTATAGAAATCTTTCAAGAAGATCATGCATAGATTATTCTTGTATTGAATATTATATATATACAATCACCTAAATATTCTAATTAAACTATAAAATTTTGAATTAGGATACGAGGTAAGACATGCAAACAGATATTTCAAAACTACCTGTAGAGTCCAAAGAACTTAATAAATAAATTTTTCTGGAGGCAATGCAAATTCTCTCTAATCTTTCATTTGGTGTAGTTAGTGTTATCATAGTACCCGCATGTATTCATGGGAAATAAATCGTGGACAAAACGTGGACACTTTTTTGTGCGACATTCCAATATGGATCTATCGTCCTGCCAATATCCCTAAGGCAGATCACGTAAAGAATGAGAGTCTCTCTATAAGATTGCTCACAAGAGACTCAAACTTATATCTGATCATGATAATGTTGAATTGTTTTGCATCAAAAGCATCGGCAATGATAAACGGCGACATAGGTTTTAGTATGCATAGTGGAGGAAAACTCAACATTGGCCTTCTCAGCAGCTTTTCTAAGCCTTTGCAGTGCTAACTTGTCCTTACTCAGATAGTCAAGAGGTGCACCATAAAATTATGCACCACTAAAAAAAATGTCACCATTGGTTGCCTTGACCTGAAAAATATGTCGAAATTAAGAATTACAACACCTAATTCAACATCTTGAAACAGACACTCAAGTGGATACCTTATTCTACAATATATGCCTGTGTGGAATAGTTCTAAAGCCACACATATTTATACGGTGAGTATAACATACTTTGTTTTAAAATTTTATGAGAGATTTTTAAGACACACAGTATTATCCATGTGACAGTCACTAATATTTACATATATACTCGAACCTGTGTGTACAGAATTATATGAAGATACAGCGAAACTTATTCATGGATTTATTGGCGCAGGAAAGAAATTGATATCGGAGAATTCTTTCTGCCGATATAAAATATTATCTTAGCCATATCACGAAAAAATCTATACAGTAGAGTTTGTGAGCCTGCGACGTCGCGCTCTCCATGGTTGTGTTAATTTCACGAACTTTTCTTTTTGAATTAAATATCACTTTAACGTCAGTATTTAATTTAATAGTATTATTATCTTATCGTGCGATCCGTGCATTTTTAGTATAAAAGATTTAGTTATTCCGTAGCAATGCACAGACACGCTACCCAGTACATTACAATATATACGAATACTAGTTTGTGCTAATAACCTGCAGTGAGTGCCACCTGACTTTCCTCGCAGAATCTCTTAGTTTTAGCTGAAAGGGCTTGGATGACTTTACCGCTCTGCCTACACCTCTCACCTCTTTTCCTTCTTTGAGAGGACGCGACGTGTAGTTTCATTTCTTTTTCACTTGCTTTGGAGTTTGGTCTCCCGGAAATTGGACCTCTCTTCCCACCACCACAGACCACACCCAGATCCAGTCACCCACGCACACCACAGAGGAAAAGAGAGAGAGAGAGAGAATTATTTCCTTGTCCCTATAAAAGGTTCGTTTCTTTTCTGGGCCCTTTTAGTTTTGAAGTTACCTATTTGACCAGAAAACTATCTTTGATTCCTTGCGTGGCACTTCTGTTAGTTTTGGCACTTAACAGGGTTAAAACGATGATTTTATCTCCGGGTGCAAAATGAATCAATGTAGAGTTAAGTTTTTCTGTGTTTAATTTGGAGCAATATTTCAAATGGTTAAGTTTAACATAATTGTATAAAATAAGGAATATATTATTTTTAAACATGGAAACATTTTGGCCCTGACTAAGTATTGCTGAAAATTAAACACAGACAAACTCTGCGTTGATATATCTTTCGCTAAGGGTAAAATCGTTATGTTGCTCCTGACTTATGACACCATTAAGTCCCAGGGCTATATAAGGAACTAAAGATAGCTTTTAGGATAAATAGGTAACTTCAAAAATAAAAAAAAAGAAATCAAAGAAGGAAGCGAAACTTTTTGTTAGAACCAAGGAAATAATTCTGTCATTAGAAAAAAAATCTTCTCCCCGGCTCCCTCATTCCGTCATGCGGCGATCGTGCGAAACGTACGGGCGCATAGTATTAAACTGCGGCGGGCCCCACTCAACCCGCCGGAATTGCAATGCAGTGCTGGTGGTCACTACTCCAATGCCAAGCAGCCACTGAGAGGCAGGCAGCTGTAGACTAGCAGTAGTGGCCCAGCATTGCTCGTTTCGGCCTTTCGGGTGGTCCCTTCTCCGAGGTGGGAGCCCGGGCCCACCAAAAACCGCGAGGCGGCCCATCAATCAGCCCATCGCACCACCAGGCACGCGCTCCTCCTCGACGTCCGTTTCGCGGGCACCGTCACGCTCGTTTTGTATCGACCGGAGAACACGGCTCGGCAACGACGTTTCTAGTCTAGTAAAGTACTCCCTCCGGGCCGTTTTCTAAGGCACGAAGAGATGGATTCCAGATACCAAGGAGGAAATTAATCCATGTTCCTGATGCCATGCCAAAGTGCCCGTATTAATTGGATTTTATGCCAAACTATCCATGCGGTTGCAGTGATGCTTCGTGAAACGTAATGTGCAGCTAGCTGGCGCCTTCCTATACGTCAAGGAATCAAGGCCGCATGTAACGCTTGCTTCAAAACCGGTGCGCGTGTTAAATCACCGGTGCTAGTTGCTTGGACTCTCGTGGACGAACGTCTTGGAATGACCGCATGCCTTACATCCTGGACTTTAGGAAAACACACGAGAACGCCTTAGAAAACGGCCCGGAGGGAGTATCTCTATGTTCGGTTTGCATCCACGCGTGCCTGCAGAACGTCATCACTCACCAATCACCACCCTGTGGCACCAAGCGGAGTAGGACGGCGACCGGACGATCCACCGAGCTAACGGACCACAACTGAAGTGAAGTCGCCGGCGAAAGGTCTTCTGAAGCGATGGGCGCACACAGCACACTATGGCCTCGCACGCAAAGAAAGCAAAGCACCAGGCAACAACAGCCCAGCATGTACAACACTGGGAAAAACAATCGCTTTTGCACATCGACACCCCACACACACATGACACACCTGAGAGGCTGAGGCCGGCGCAGATATTACTTGGAGCTGCGCTGGCTTTATCCAACTAGGATGAAGCCGAGCAAGAGAGGAACGAGTGAAAAAGAGGGAGCAGGAGCCACGATCCGACGCCTAAAGCCGGCCAGAACCGGGGCGCTTTATTCGGTCCGGCCCACCGCCAAAAGATGCAGTAGAGCAAAATATAGAGATGAATGAACCAACTTGGCGCAGAATCTAACGCCTATCGTTCCTTCTCTTTCAGATCCCTCCAAGAGTCAAAACCATCCAAAAGCTGGGCGCGAGACCGCGAGTGCCACCCTGACAGAATCCACTTCGGGCACGGGGAGATTCCAGAGGCCACCCAGATACTATTCGCTCTCTTTCTTTCCCCGGCAGTGCGCTGGTGGCTGGTGCTCCCGCAACTATGGGTGGCCGGCTTTCCTCCCTGCCTGCAAATTGCTCGCCGCACCTGTCGTCAGTCCCTGCTCTGCTTGCCCTGCGATGCTGCGACTATGGATGAGTATGTGTGTGTGTGCGTGTGTTACCGGCATGGATCCGATCCGCCGAGGCGGGAGCTGCGCGATTCCATATATCCGTGTAAAGGAGGCCCTGAGATCGATTCCGATTCCACTGCCGGACTGTATTCGCGTCGTCTTGAACGAATGACAGAGCTCTTGCACTTATCCGAGAAAAAATAGCACTACCGATTCCATTCCATATAGCCCCCGTAGCTAGCCCCTAGGCACCGAGGTTATCCGGTGCCTGTGCGAGTCTCAAAAACAGAGAGACCACGCGCTTCGAGATGCTGCCTTCCCTGTACGTCTGCAGGCGTCGGACGTGACGTTGGGCGACGCCAGGCCAGAGCAATTTGGCCACCACCGCACGACGCCATTGGGCGAGATTGGCATCGGGCTCGTCACTCCCTGCTCACTCACTCGGGCCGCACTCGCTTTCTCCCTCGCAACGCATTTGGGCGCAAAGGAGATCGACCTCATGGAGTCATGGTCATGGGTCATGGCAGACATGCACGGATTGCAGTATATAGGGAAAAGAATAATCATGGAGGGTTGAAAGCATGCGAGAATAAACGAGCTGGAATGATAGGAGGCACCAGGGGCATGTGCAGCGTAAATAGAACGAGTAAACGGGGGCAGTGAAGGAGCGACTTCAAATCTGAAAATGTACTAGGATTCTCACGCTCAGATCTTGCGCCCATATGCATCCTGACATCTGACAGAGCAGACGTAAAAGTCAACAAACAGTTCAAGCGCAAGGTATCAGTTGAGCTAGTGGGTACGAAATTACCTGATCTGAGATAGTGAAAACGGTCTTATGTACAGGCATAGCAACCTAACCAAATTATTTCCCAAGATAAGGCTGGCTAACACACCACAACCATACCCACGAGTCAACTCCTGCCGCAACCATTCTCACGCCGCATAATCGAGTAAATACAATTACACCATCGAGTAAATACATTATGGGACGATACTGGGGCGGCTCTTTCCTGGGGTAGAGAGAACCCACCAGCGACCCAGTAATGCTGCCGAACATCACCACCTCTGCTTGGGCCGTCCCAGGTAACATGACCAGCAGCAGGAGTCTCGTCAGTTCTTCCTCCTTGACCCCCGTTCCCACTTCCCGGCGCCGACGCTGCGTTCAGTTCTTCCTCCCTTTCGCTGTATTCAAGAATTTTCCGCTTGATGTTCTGCTTCTCCTCGTGCTCAGCGGCACTCTGCTGCTTCGTGCTCTGCACCAGTGGGCAGTCCCCCGGGATGAGCATTTGCTTTGTCTGCTGCTTATGCCCTTTCTTCACAAGCACCTTGAAGCACACCTCGCTAGCACCACCGGATCCGGATTTGACTAACTCATCACACACGTTTTCTTTGTCAGCTGCTTCAGTAGTCATCAGGTCCTTTGACCCCTTGAAAGTACTCATTGGTTCCTTCATGTTCACAGTGGGCCTGGATGGCTCCAACTTACGTGACTCCAAGCTTTCCAGAAGAATGGCTTTCAGCTCCCTGTCAAAGTCTTCTTGATCCTTAGGGTCAACTTGCACCTTCTTTTTTCGAACCTCAACAGTTTCCTCTTCATCGGAACCAACAGGCACAGCAATGTCCTCAATGCGATCTTCATTTTCCAGCCTGTCATCCAATCTCTCTTCACGCGGAAAATCTTCCTCATCTTCATGACCATTCCGATATCTGCTTGTGCTATCTGTGGAGTCCTCACCGTTTGGTGCTTCTTCATGGTCCCTACCATTTTTCTTGGATATATTTGCTGTCATCTTGTCATTGGCATCAAATACAACATTCTCAGATTGTTTCGACTGTGATTCGCTGTCCCAGTGACTTTCATCTCCACCTTTCCTGGCTGCAGCCACGTGCTCATTTTGTTCAAGCTCAACTAGCACATTATTCAATCCTTCCAGAGATGAATGCCTCGTCATGTTGGGTCGCAGCTCAGCAAACATATCCTTCAGCACACAAATGAATCAGAATTCAGAAGCTATACCTATTGACTAGAATAGAACTCATGCTTTTTATTAAGTTTAGATGGAGCTTAGACTCGAAGGGCGGGCCTGGTGCAAGCGGTAGAGTCTTACCGCTTGTGACCGGAAGGTCCCGGGTTCGAGTCGTGGTCTCCTCGCATTGCACAGGTGAGGTAAAGCTTGCCACTGACACCCTTCTCCAGACCCCGCACAGAGCGGGAGCTCTCTGCACTGGGTACGCCCTTTAGATGGAGCTTAGACTCCATTAATAATGTCTGGAATTCGCAACCTCTAACAAGTTCCTGATGTTTAGAACAAGGACTAACCTGAACATCAAATTCTACATCGAGTGGTAACGGCCCTTTGCTGAGAGCATATCTTTGGAACAATAGCAAAAAACTGTCAAGCTTTCTTTTTGAAGAGCCTCTGGTAAAATAGTGACCACAAGTCTGTAAAAGTGTAATGACCAGCCTGATCCTGAAAAAATCTTCGAGGGGATCGAGCAAATCTTGCTGCACAGGACACAAACAAAGGATGGTATGTTTTTGTAAATAAATAATAAACGTCGACACAGATTATTAAAAATTTATACAATTAGGCGCCCATAAAGCATCAAAGATAATTGGTAAGAACAAAGTTCAGAAAAAATTATTAAACATGCAAACCAGGAATTCGAGATCCAAAGTATCCCAGAAAAAAAATGTGAGGCTCCTAGGTCATACAAGGTTTTGGAAGGAAACAGAAATGCATACCTAACATGCTTCAGAATGGCAAGGCCAAAAGTTGGTTTATTCAAGAATTTTATCTTACTAAGTGTGTGATCTTTTTAAGAAAAAATATTAAATTAGCATGCGAGCTGCAGAAATGCAGCACTTCCAAATTCCATAAGAAAAACTCAAGGAACACAGATGATAAGTTGCCTCCAATTTTGCTAGACTAAAAAATTTACCTCAGATGTTCCATGACCAAATACAATAATAAGGTTTAGTGTCTCAAATATAACTGATGAATCAATGCACTCATAATTATATAGCTCTCCAAGGAATCGCATATGGGCAAGGCGCTGTTGCTGCATTGCATAGTCGTTTAGCTCAAGCAATGTTTTCAGATCGTATTATCGAGGCTAGTCGTATGACCACCGATCAGACGACTAAGGGTCGATTAGTCGGTCCTAATCGGCTAGTCGGACATTTAGTCGTCCTTGTGCCTAGATGGCCTGATCGACCATGTATATACTATATATATGATGTAAATATATGTAAACATGGCCATAATAAATAGGTAAATGTTAGAGGCAAGCAACCAAGCACAATTTGGCATGTAATCATGTTTGCAATGAATCATTATCATGGTGATTGGGCCACTTACCTGTAACTGCTGCTTGCTGATGCCTGATGGTGAGTGCTGACTGCTGACTTGTGGCTGAATCGGAAATCACAAAGAAAGAAGATAATCAGTTAAATAGGCAAAATAGCAGAAAAACAAAACTATAAAGACTAAAGAAAATGTAAAGAGTAGTAGACAGTAGAGCATGGCAAAACAACTTAACCAAGTACACAAATTTAACAAATAAGAACTAACAACAGTTTAGCATAGTGCACACTGTGCACAGCAGTTGGAGCAGCTGACGACGCTGAGGCAGCCCCTCCTGAGACAGCTTCATTCTCAGGTAGAATTACCTCAACAATTGCACGCCGTCGAGCATCCTCTGCAGAGCGGCACAGCCACACAAATGTGTCACAAATTGGTGGCAACAGGCAATACAGAGCAGTAGACATAGACAATAACCTTCAGAGGAGGCAGAGTGGTGGCTCATCTTGATGCTTGAGGCCTCCCGCATCCGTCTTCCAGGCGTCGAGGAAGGAGCTCAGAGCAACAGAGCCTCAAAGGCGGGTGGAGCTACTGGGTCCCGGCAGGGGAGAAGATAGGAGTGGGCGGAGGTGGAGGCGCGGGCGAAGCTACGGACGCCGGCGAGAGGCGCGGACGAAGCTGCGGATGACGGCGAGGGGAGCGGACAGAGCTGCGGACGCCGGCGAGGGAGATCCAGAGAGGCAGGCCGCAGGCGGAGGTGCCGGCGGCTGCGAGAGAGAGCAGAGCCAGAGCGGGAGCTGGAAATGTGCCGAGCGGGAGCTGGAAATGTGCGGCGGCTACAGCTCCTTCACTAGGTCACTCACTCCTCTTCTTCTTACCCTAATGGGCCAGCTAAAGGTGGGCCGAATTCTTTAGCTAGGCCGAATTCTCCCTACCCAACTAGTCATCCGGCTAGCCTGATCGGACGACTAATCATGATTAGTCGCAACTTATCGTACGATAAGGTTTCTAATCAGTCTAAACTAATCGAGGGCCCTTATCGAGCACCGATAAGGACGACTAATCACGGTTAATCGCGATTAGTTGTCCGATCTGAAAACACTGAGCTCAAGTCCAACTCTAATCTCCTCTAGCACCTGCGTCCAAATATAAAGGATAATATTAACATCTCCTGTGTGCTTTATAAAAAAAACATCTCCGTGTGTACATACATTAATTAAATGATGTTCATATTATGTTTCAAGTTGTTGCTTATGCAGATACCAGATTGTCAAAAGAAATTAAACTATTGATACTGCTTTAAGCTCGGCTATAGCTGACAATCTCAAATGCCCAATCACAAAAGAAGAAAACAGATGAAGGCAGTGTACAATTTGTTTTGATACGGGTTAAGCAAAATCATAACAGCAAGTCAAGTACCAAACTCAGCATCCAAATCAAAGAAATGTGGTAACAGTACAAAAGTGCAGGATTAAGGCCCAATTCATGTTGTAAGTTTGCATGTCATAAACATTTTCATGTGAAGTGAAAAGACAATTTTTCACTGCTCCTTGAATTGGAACAACTTCCCATTTCAACTAAAGTAACTCACCTCGTCTACCACAACCACAGCAAAGTCATCATGATAGCGACTAAGACCAGCAGTGAGTAGAGCAATAAGGTGAACCTGGCTATACTTTCCCTTGTGGACCTTAAGAAAACACTTCACAATGTACTGTTCACACTCTGCCCAAGGTAACTTGAGTAACTGAAGAAGAATATGTTGAACAGTTGTTTTGTCGAGATCTGAGAAAAGTAACCTCCTTATGTACTGCAAGCATTAAAAACAATTAGTATATTGCACTTAATTTTTTATGTACAAGTAACCAGACTTTAGAGACTCTGGAGGAAAGCAAATCAGATTACAAATGGAACCTTACTTGATGTAGAGGTGGTCGAACTTTAGATACCCTGGAAGATCTTTCTGGAGGTTTACATAGGTAATAGGCATTTTCTACAAGTGTGGTATGGTGTGCATCCAAATTCTTGACATTTTTCAATCTGTTCAGTATCTCCAACATGTTTGACATGCGAATTGTAGTTTCTCGTGAACGATAAAGAAAACATCCACAGGTCTCCAGAAGATTGCAGGCCACATCAATGTTATGATGAGTGAAATCATCTAAGCAAGCCTGAAAATATGGAAGGATTGCAAGACTAAGTTAAGCACATATGAAAGTATCTTGAGACCAAGTTAACAACAACAACAACAACAACAACAACAAAGCCTTTAAGTCCAAACAAGTTGGGGTAGGCTAGAGTTGAAACCCAGCAGAAGCAATCAAGGTTCAGGCACGTGAATAGCTGTTTTACAAGCACTCCTATCTAAGGCTAAGTCTTTAGGTATATACCATCCTTTCAAGTCTCCTTTTATTGCCTCTACCCAAGTCAACTTCGGTCTTCTTCTGCCTCTCTTCACGTTACTATCCTGGCTTAGTATTCCACTATGCACCGATGCCTCTGGAGGTCTTCGTTGGACATGTCCAAACCATCTCAACCGGTGTTGGACAAGCTTTTCTTCAATTGGTGCTACCCCTAATCTATCACGTATATCATCGTTCCGAACTCGATCCCTTCTTGTATGACCGCAAATCCAACGCAACATACGTATTTCCGCGACACTTATCTGTTGAACATGTCGTCTTTTCGTATGCCAACATTCTGCACCATACAACATAACAGGTCTAATCGCCGTCCTATAAAACTGGCCTTTTAGCTTCTGTGGTACCATTTTATCACATAGGACACCAGATGTTTGGCGCCACTTCATCCACCCTGCTTTGATTCTATGGCGAACATCTTCATCAATATCCCCGTCTCTCTGTAGCATTGATCCTAAATATCGAAATGTATCCTTCCTAGGTACTACTTAACCTTCCAAACTAATATCTTTCTCCTCCCGAGTAGTAGTGCCGAAGTCACATCTCATATACTCTGTTTTAGTTCTACTTAGTCTAAAACCTTTGAACTCCAAAGTCTCCCGCCATAACTTCAGTTTCTGATTCACTCATGTCCGGCTTTCATCAACTAGCACTACATCGTCCGCGAAAAGCATACACCAAGAGATGTCCTCTTGTATGTCCCTTGTGACCTCATCCATCACTAAGGCAGACACATAAGGCTCAAAGCTGACCCTTGATGTAGTCCTATCCTAATCGGGAAGTCATCCGTGTCTCCATCACTTGTTCGAACACTAGTCACAACATTGTTGTACATGTCCTTAATGAGCCTGACGTACTTCGTTGGGACTTTATGTTTGTCCAAAGCCCATCACATAACATTCCTTGGTATTTTATCATAAACCTTCTCCAAGTCATTAAAAACCATGTGTAGGTCCTTCTTCTTCTCCCTATACCGCTCCATAACTTGTCTTATTAAGAAAATAGGTTCCATGGTTGACCTTCCGGGCATGAAACCAAATTGGTTCATAGAGACCCGCGTTATTGCTCTTAAGCGATGCTCGATAACTCTCCCATAGCTTCATAGTATGGCTCATCAACTTAATTCCCCGGTAATTAGTACAACTTTGAATATCCCATTTATTCTTGTAGATCGGTACCAATATACTTCTCCTTCACTCGTCAGACATCTTGTTCGATCGAAAAATATGGTTGAACAGCTTGGTTAGCCATACTATAGCTATGTCCCCGAGGCATCTCCACACCTCGATTGGGATACCATCCGGTCCCATCGCCTTACCTCCTTTTATCCTTTTCAACGCCTCTCTGACCTCAGATTCTTGGATTCCCCGCACAAAGCGCCTATTGGTGTCATCAAAAGAGTCATCCAACTGAAAGGTTGTGTCCGTATTCTCACCATTGAATAATTTGTCAAAATACTCTTGCCATCGATGTCGGATCTCATCCTCCTTCACCAAGAGATGCTCCATTTTATCCTTAATGCACTTAACTTGGTTGAAGTCCCTTGTCTTTCTCTCACGAACCCTAACCATCCTATAAATGTCCTTCTCTCCTTCCTTCGTACTCAGATGTTGGTAAACATCCTCGTACGCTCTACCATTTGACACACTACAGCTCGCTTTGCAGTCTTCTTTGCCACCTTGTACTTCTCTATGTTGTCCACACTCCTGTCATGGTACAAGCGTTTATAGCTTTCTTTCTTCTCCTTAATAGCCCTTTAGACTTCCTCGTTCCACCAAATATCTTTAGCCTCGCCTCCGCTTCCTTTGGTTACTCCACACATCTCTGAAGCAACCTTCCGAAAGTTGGTTGCCATCTTCTCCCACATGTTGTTTATGTCCTCTTCTTCCTTCCAAAAGCCCTCTTTGATAACCCTTTCCCTGAATACCTCTGACGTCTCCCCTTTCAGTTTCCACCACTTTGTTCTTTCAATCTTAGCTTGTTTATCCCTACGGGCACGCACCTGAAAACGAAAGTCTGCCACCAAAAGCTTATGTTGAGAAACAACCCACTCCCCTGGTATCACCTTGCAACCCAAGCATGCTCGTTTGTCCTTTCTTCTTGCAAGGACAAAGTTAATCTGGCTAGAGTGTTGTCCGTTACTGAAGGTCACTAGATGAGATTCTCTTTCTAAAGAAAGTGTTGGCTATCATCAGGTCAAAAGCTACCGCGAAGTCCAAAACTTCCTCCCCCTCCTGAATCCTACTACCATACCCAAAACTTCCATGAACTGCCTCGAAACCTGCGCTTATAGTACCTACATGCCCATTAAGATCTCCTCCTATAAAAATCTTCTCCCTACTAGGTACAGCTCTAATCAGACCATCTAAGTCTTCCCAGAACTGTCTCTTAACACTCTCGTCGAGGCCTACTTGGGGGCATACACACTAATTACGACCATATCACCAACGACAAGCTTGACTAAGATAATCCTATCTCCTTGCCTTCTCACTCCCACCACATCATTCTTGAGGCTCTTATCAATCAAAACTCCTACTCCATTTCTATTCGCGACTGTCCCTGTGTACCAAAGCTTGAAACCTGTATTTTCCACCTCCTTCGCCTTCTGACCATTCCATTTAGTCTCTTGAACGCATAATATATTTACACGTCTCCTAGTCGCGGTATCAACTAATTCTCTTAACTTACCTGTAAGCGACCCTACATTCCAATTACCAAAACGGATCCTAGTTGGTTCGACTAGCTTCCTTACCCTTCGCACCCGTCGACTCGGATATGAAGACCCTTGCTCATTTTTCACTACACCCGGGCGCCGATGTAGCGCGCTACTAAGGAAGCGACGACCCGATCCTTGCTCACTTAACACCATGCCCAGATCGCGACACGGCACGTTACCAAGGGGGTGCCGACCCGGCCCTTTCCCATTTAATACCATACCCGGGTTCCGATATGGCGCGTCGCTAAGAGGGTTACGCCCCAATGGTTTTCTTTCGGGTTTCATCTCCATTAGAATGGCTAAATTTAACGTTGGATCGCCACGCCTATCACAACACTCCTCCTTTACCAGGGCTTAGGACCTACTATGTTGAGACAACATAGGCGGAGTTAAGTTCAAAGTAATTTGAAGTGAAGAAAATATAACACAGTAGCTGATGTGATGTAAAAACATAAACAAAGCCATCACAAACTTTAAAAAATGGAGTAAGCTGGCAAATGCTAATTCTATATGCGAACTATGGCCCCGTTCGGCTTACCCCATATCCGGCTTGTTCGGCTTCTTTTTTCAGCCGGAGCAGTGTTTTTCTCTCACAACATTTCAGCCAGAACAGTGTTTTTCAGCCAAAATTCAGCAAGCCGAACAGGGCCTATGTGTAGATGTATATACCTTCAAACATCTAAAGACAAGGCAGGTGGTGCAATTTTGAATTTGCATAGCTCTCCAATAAATCTAATGTTTCTAATTTTTGTTTCAATTTTGATCTGATCCTGAAAAAGGAACATAGTCGATAACCAGAGTTAGCGCTGACGCAAGAACAGCAAAATATATTGCCATGGACTAAAGCAAGCTTTCTCCTGGTAACAAATGATACTCCACTATTAATATGAACAAACCTTCTTGTTTATCAAAAAATTAAACTCCTCTTCAAGCATCGACAATAGCATACTTGGAAGACCCTTCATAAATGGGGACAATGTGGCAACTAATCGAGAATAGTAAGGTAGCAGTTCCAAAGAAGTCCTTGGAACACTGAATAAGGCTCGCACAAGTTTCTTCCTGTTTGCTTTAGAATTCAGGTAGCAAAACTCTACCTGGAAAAGGAAAATGAGTTTATAAAAGGGGCCTAACTGAGTAACTGACCCATATGTACAGAAAAAAAAATAGCAACTCTTCTTACCGTCAATTGATCAATTAGATCACAGCTGCCACATCTTGGCAACTTCTGCAGCAGGCTATCCAAGCTTGCACCATCTATGCCCTCGCACTTTCTCTCTTTCAGCACCATCTTTTCTTGATTTTTTCTTTAGCCAATCTTTCTGTTTCTGTGTTCTCTCTATTCTTGGGTTCCTCATTTGCCATTCTGTCAGTTTGATGTTCAGAGACAGAAGTTTCACCATTCTCTTGTACTTCAGTCTGTGGTTGCATGGAACACTCCTAATTAAACAAAACCAGTAAGCTTAGCAGTTAGTGAAGACTAACTTAACTGAACATCACACCAAAGGGCGTACCCAGTGCAGAGAGCTCCCGCTCTATTCGGGGTCTGGGGAAGGGTGTTAGTGGCAAGCCTTACCCTACTTTGTGCAATGCGAGGAGACCATGACTCGAACCGGGACCTTCCGGTCCACAAGCGGTAAGACTCTACTGCTTGCACCAGGCCCGCCTTTCAACTGAACATCACACCAAAGAAGGAAAAACCTAGTTGGAGAAGGTGCAGCCATCATGCAAACGATAGAAACATTCATCTCTTCCAGAACAAAAGGTTGAAAAAGAAAATAGAAGTACAAAATAGGGTAGCTACAAAAGTGAATAGAAACTATATACTATAAGTGGAGATCAGCCAGACTATATACTGTAAGTTCAAAACTAGTAATGCATATGTGTGTCAAGGCCTAAAAGTACAAGAGGGTCAGGGAAAAAGAGAAGAAAGAACTAAAAAAAAACGAAGGACTATGCCTGTGCCCCTGCCACCAAAGATGGAAAACCTTAAGGCCTTGTTCGGTTGCTCTCAAAATGAAAGGGATTGAAGGGGATTGGAGGGGGTTGAGGGGGACTTTGACTTGTAGGGAATTTAATCCCCCTCAATCCCTCCCAACCCCCTTGGTTTGGAGATCCAACAGAACAGGGCCTAAATGGGATTTTTTTAAAAAAGGAAAATGGGAGAAGAAGGAATGACTAGATAGCTGCAAACTTGGAAGTCGCCATGACAATGTTTAAAACTTCAGTACATAAAGCCATAATCAAACCTTCTATTAATTCGTGAAAACAGTTACAGTGCAAAGTATTTGAGAGACTTACGTTAGATTGTTCATGAACCTTTTCATGTTGCTCTAGCAACTTCGGTTCAACTTCCCCCAGTAGTACAGCAGGCACAAATGCTCTACTCAAAACAAATCGGTTACACAGGTGGAAAGAAAAATCACATTATAGAATTACTAACAATTTTGTAGTGTGTACAAAGAAGTAAAATATCATTAGCAATCTAAGGAAAAACCTGAGATCAGATAAAGATTCATAGAAAGCCCTCGTGTCTTCGTCATCCCATATAAGTTGTACTGCAGAGGATTCTTTCCCAGAAGGAGGTAAGTTAGTGCCTGTGGTAACCCTAGTTGTATGTCCATCTTCTGGCATAACAGGAGGCTGCATATCAAGAGCTTCAGCTAAACTACAAGACAATATATTCAAAATATTTGTCAGCACCATTATACACAGGCGATGTATATGGTACTTCCATTGTAGCAATGAGGTAAAGAAAAAACTGGACTATTTGCAAAGGTATAGCCTGTTTCTTTTTTATACTTCATGTAATAACTAGAAATGATATTCCTCAAAAGAAAGGAACTAAGATGGACTACCAGAAACTGCTAGCAACTAAGATGGTCTCCCAAAAATGTTACTCCCTCCGTTCCAAAATATTTGACATTTTCGGTTTGGACACAGAAATTAAGGATGAGTGAAAAGGTGTGGTACACATAAAACAAAAAGGAGAGATATATAGATGTATTGAGAAAAGAAAAAGGTACATTGAGAGAAGAGAAAGGTGCATTGGGAAGTGAGAAGGTCAAGTATTTTGGGACAAAATTTGAATCCTATAAGGTCAAGTATTTTGGAACGGGAGGGAGCAAGTGGTTTAGAGTCAAAAGGTTTTTATTAGCATAATTTCTGCTAGCTCCTATCCTGGTGGGAAAATATTCTTTTCTACAAAAAATGAAAGTTTTACACTAAGAAAACAATCTGGATCGAAGACTGAAAAAACAGAGTAATTATTTTCCAATTCAGTGCACAGAATAAAGGACTAGTTGTATGGATACATAACCAATTACTTAAGAAATAAATAAAACAAAGATGTTACTGCTCAAGAGAACTCACGAGGAAACACAATGCAATAACTGATTGAAAGATCTTCGAAGCTTCTCATGTGATGCAGTATTTTCATCACTTAGTTCTCCTTTGGCATTCAATTTTTTTGCATTTTCTGACTCCATCACACAAAGAGACTGCATAGTTGAGTTGGTTGTTAATGCATAAGATGGTAGAGTACCACATAAACTAAAAAAGACAGTAGGGCTCCACTATTGTATTTCTCTAAAGAATACCGGGTTAGTAAAAAATATAGTTACCTCATGTTCTGACTGTAGAAGTTCGCTTGCTGCATCATAGTAAGAGTAAAAGGCTTTCTTGAAGAACCTCTTCTGATCATAAGTAATATTGAGGTCCATGAGGAACTGCAGCAGAGAAAATGAAACTAATGAGTAACCATGGCAACATTAATAAACCTAAGATTTGGAAAGACTGTTGCAGTGTTGCCTATGATGGAATTCAAGCACAAATAACACTTTGCATACATATCATTGTGCTACAAATAAAGGCCCAAGAGATGAATGTACTACAAATATAGAGACATTAGTCAAACCATCTTCCAGCATAATTTCAAGGTAAACCCTCCTGAATATAACTACAAAGTATACTGTTAATTTGCTACAGATAGAGATCTCCTGTGCCATCTAATGCTCAGTAAACGGGTTGCAGTAAAACTAAAATTTTCCTGACCTCATTATAAGCATCTTGCCCTTGTTGTTGCAGTCCAAGAAAAATCTTTCCTTGGCGAGCAAAACTAGCAAGGAGAGACAAATTTGTCTGAGTTGTTTCCCGGTCTTTCAAATGCTCCAGTGATGTAAGATCTTTTATAATGGTGGTGAAAGTATTAGCATCTTCAACAATTCCAACAAAATACAGTTCCATTAGAAGTTTTAGTGTGCTTCGCTTCTTCAAGGCTCCTGCATTCTTGTCTAAATCCGGTTCTCCAGACTTCCCAGGATAGAAGGTTTTTAGGAGTTCTTCAATAAGACAAGGAGAGAAGTCTATGTATCTTTAATGGAGCAGTGAGCAAATCTACATTCCATGAGAATTCACCATAATATTAACAGTTTACAGACAAGAATAATATCGCCAAAAAAAATAAAATATAACCTATATGTGTAATGCTGCACAACTCCATAAGCTAATAGCCTACAGATTTTGAGGCCGATAAAAATTAGGGCAGCATCATGCTTCACTTATACAGAACACATTGCTAATCCATGTATGAAATAACAACAACAACAACAACATAGCCTTTCAGTCCCAAGCAAGTTGGGGTAGGCTAGAGTTGAAACCCACCAAGAGTCCCAAGTCACGGTTCAGCCACTTCAATAGCTGCTTTCCAAGTACGCCTATTCAAACATAGATCTCTAGATATATCCCAAGCTTTCAAATCACTTTTTATTGCCTCCCCCATGTCAATTTCGGTCTTTCTCTACCTCTCCTCATATTATTAGCTTGGCTTAGGACTCCACAATGCACTGGTGCCTCTGGAGGTCTTCTTTGGACATGGCCAAACCACCTCAACCGATGTTGGACAAGCTTTTCTTCAATTGGTGCTACCTCTAGGCGATCACGTATATCATCGTTCCAAATTCGGTACATTCTTGTGTGACCGCAAATCCATCGCAATATACGTATTTCTGCAACACTCAGTTGTTGAACATGTCGAATCTTTGTAGGCCAACATTCTGCTCCATACAACATAGCCGGTCTAATCGCCGTTCTATAGAACTTGCCTTTTAGCTTTTGTGGTACCCTCTTAATCACAGAGAATGCCAGAAGCTTGTCGCCACTTGATCCACCCTGCTTTGATTCTATGGCTAACGTCCACATCAATATCTCCATCCCTCTGTAGCATCGATCCCAGATACCGAAAGGTATCCTTCTTAGGCACTACTTGACCTTCCAAACTCATATCTCCCTCCTCCTGTACAACTCCGCCAAAGTCGCATCTCATATATTCGGTTTTAGTTCTGCTCAATCTAAAACCTTTAGACTCAAGGGTCTGCCGCCATAACTCTAGTTTCCTATTTACTCCCGCCTGGCTTTCGTCTACTAACACTACATCATCAGCGAACAACATACACCAAGGGATATCCCCTTGTATGTTCCTGGTAACCTCATCCATTAACAAGGCAAAGAGATACAGGCTTAAGGCTGACCCTTGACCCTTGATGAAGTCCAATTTTAATCGGGAAGTAATCTGTGTTACCATCGTTTGTTCGAACACTAGTCACAACATTGTTGTATATGTCCTTGATGAGGGTCATGTACTTTGATGGGACTTTATGTTTGTCCAAAGACCACCACATAACATTTCGTGGTATCTTGTCATAAGCCCTCTCCAAGTCAATGAAAACCAAGTGGAGGTCCTTCTTCTGCTCTCTAAACCGCTTCATAACCTGTCTTATTAAAAAGATTGCTTCTGTGGTTGACCTTCCGGGCATGAAACCAAATTGGTTTGTTGATATCTGCGTCGTTCCTCGCAGGCGCTGCTCGATGACTCTCTCCCATAACTTCATAGTTTGGCTCATCAACTTTGAAATAACTTATAAAGAAATGTATAATGAGCAAGGCTGTAGCTTACAAGACGGATTAAGTGTATATTTGTGAACTGATAAGACTAAGTAAAACAGATCCAGGTACTGTTAACACTGCGCATACCTGAACTGCAGCTTGTATGTCAGTAGAACGAAGCTTAGCAGCACAAATGTAAGAAACTGCTTCACTGACAAATTTGCTCAAGTTTACAGTTTTCAATTCTTCAATTAACCCGTCCTTCACTTCATCATTTATCACTTTAAGCTTCTTGATAATTGCTAAATTACGTTTAATACTTGAATCAAGAGTCCTCATGTGATTCACATCTGAAATGAACAATTCGGTTACATCATAATCTATGTACATCAAATGTCAAGATTGACTACTCAATACATTAACAATCACCTCTGATACCAAAGCAAGAGGGTTCTAGAAATATAAAAGGGAATAAAGAATATAAACATGCAAACCATCATATAAGGTTTCAAAATGAAAATGAATGGACAGTTGTTTGATTGCTGACGTGGGAAGTGGGAATGGGAATTATTGGCAGAGGTTAATTTAATTTTACTGTTTGCTTTGAAGGTATAGTTGTATCAGGTTGTTTGTTACCATGGAAACTCAAAAACAATTTCAAGCAGAAATGGAAACAAAGGGTGTGTTTGGATCCTAGAATAGCATTTTCTTCTCAATCCCCAAGCAAAGCTTAGTGTTTAATATGGATAAATTAGAATAACTTAGCAATTTAGAATGCCAATGCAAGAAATAGGGTTTAGGAAATTTCCTCTCCTAGACATATTTTACGAGCAAATAAGCTAACCAAATAAGCTAGGCTCCCTGGGCTACTGCCAAATGGACTCTATTGAGCAGCACATAAGTTTTGATGTTATTAGGTGAGGAAGGCAAAACTTGTATTCAACATGACTAGCATTCTGGTATCTCAGAAAGGTACCAAGAAGTACAAAAATTATTGCTTGAAACTGGTATCTAAGATACCAAAAATTGTATCATACCTTAGGTGCCAAATAATGGTACATCCTACGTTATAATTAGTGGTACCTCTACACAGATAGTAAGGAATCTCAGGAACATATCAAACAAAAAGTACAAATATTGCCTTATATACCCTTCGTATGACTCTGAATCTTAGTCTCGTTAGGGTACCAGATAAACATTTTCCTAGGAACTATGTTTCTGATTAGGTGTTGAAAAGCTTCATGCACACCGTAAAGGTCAACATTTCAGAACTGCATACAATGTAGACTTCTTAGGAACGCAAGTGAACGCATGCATGAAATATGATTCTTTTCTACAAGACATATAGCTATCTAATAGTGCCTTAAGCTTGAAAGTAATTGCAAGTATAGGCCAAAAGGAGAAGTTTGAAGCAAAAAGGTGTGGAGAGCCCTTGTAAATAGCTTTTATGGAAAGAACATCAATTTAAACCTAGACTGATAAAGAAATAGATATATAAAAAAAACATTGGCAGTTCACTTAAGCAGTATTCGGTGAATAAATTCAAACAAGGACTTGCATATCCATTTTGCCTCCATCGAGAAAGAAAATAGACACATAAAACCAAATTGCAGTGATTTCCATGAAAATAGTCACTACTCGAAGAAGAAAAAAAGATAATACCAGGTCTTTCAGGGTTCAGATTACTCTGGCGAAGAGTAGCCTTTAGATCAATAAGCATTTTGTATCCTTCAAGATGAGCCTGCTGCAGACAATCAGTTTTTAGGATAAATAGAACGTCTTGAACATAAGGCACACAGTGTAATATGGGTAACCAAGAACTGCTCTATAAATTCAAAACTAGTAATTTCATATTTCCACTTGAGATATATCAGAATCACCTCATCATCTTGCTTACTACAACGCCCATCTTGATCTTGATTGTGTCCTGCGCTGCTCTCCTTTTCAGTATGCTCCATTTATTACACTAGCCAAATGTCATAAATCATGCAAAAGCTGCCAAGCAAACACAACAGCAAATTAACACCAGTAGGTAGGGAGTGTTATATATAAGGTAACAACAGACGCTGCAAAATGCCACATATGAAAACACAATTTCTTGTATTAGAACAAACATTCCAGAACTGTAACAACTGCCAGCTATTGAATCTTCTTCTTTCTGAGCGACCTGGCACAAGATCCCCCATGCTAGTAGCGGTGTAAGTGTAACTGACCGTAGAAGCTTCCTGGGGACCTAGTACTAGTAAATAGTGACTCGAATCTGTATGAATCCTCCTAAGAAAACAGCACAGGTCACCTGCTAGACACCTGACCATACGAACTGGAACGAGAACAGTAGAACGAATGACCCACTTCCTGCACTCGTGCGTATTACAGTTTATAGTAGCATCACTAAATTCTAAACTGTGAGAGGCGAAGGGTTGGCTAGGTGTAGGTAAGCCCCGTTTAAAGCACAGAGAAACAAATTAATCCGGGCTGTTTAAAGCGGCGTCGCTGCGAGTTTGCGACCTAAAACAATATATCTCAAAACTGGGGAAAAAACAAAGGGGAAAGGTGATCACAGCGAGAGGGAGCGCCTGAACCTAGCGGGGAAAAGCTGTCAGAATGGCGCTGCATTCTGAGGCCTGCGAACGCGTCAAAACCGGCACCGGAGCTCGAGCAATTAGCCCGCGAAAGATGGAGGCGGATGCTTACCGTCGCGGTGGTGGTTGCCGGCGACGAGCGCGAAGCGGCGAGGGCTCGGTCGGCTACTCGGCGAGGGGAGAACTGCAGACGTGATGCGAGTACAGGTGGAATGATAGTAATGGACCTTGGTGGACTTCAATTTTATGCCGCTGCAAACTCTTGGGCTGACAATATATTGATGGGCCTTTTCTTTTTGCTCCTGTAATAACTCTGGGCTTGTGTGTGACACATCATGCGGCCCAGTTTTTCATCGATGGCAAACATCTTCTTGGCGCAACGTCATTTAGTTCTATTTTTTTAACACTGACGGAAGCTATTATTCAGAAAACGAACTTACCTCTGAAGTCTGAACTCAATCTGATGTTCAATTGTGTTTTAATCTGGATCTGACGATGTTACGTTTTGCAGTGGACAAAAGGAACAAACTGGAGGAGTTTAACCGCCGGCTAAAGTGCTCTACGATCCTGACTTGAAAGGCCCAATCTCGGCTCGAAACTGCATAATCCTATGGCAGAAAGTTTGATCTGAAGTTAGAACTGAAAGTGACCAAAAGTAAGCGAGACTGCGAGAGCTTGGAGTGCTGGATTGAAAAGGTGCTCCCGAGCTCACCACCATTATTGAAGTCCTCTAAATAAAAGGATTATTTCAGGCTCATTAGTTGTACTTATCAGACTGGATATGCACTTGTCAGTATAACAAATAACTTTTAGATACGGTCCCTTCATCAAAGTATATGGCTCATCAATACGCAAGCACACAATCTAGTACAGGATCCGATCGGCGGAAAAGGGATCGTCACATCTAAATCTAAAGTTCATAAAAGACGACTACATCCAAAATTCCAAATTGTGCTGACCAGGATCGATCGGCCACCACGAACAATGCATGACATTTCCAGAATGAAGTTGGGCAGACTCCAGAGTTGGTGAAAGCTAATGGTCGGGGATTGTTTATTTCGTGCTCGGGTGAAAATCTTCTTCCCACACCCAGGGATCGATCTTGACGGGGACGTCGCGACCTCTTCCGAATAAGTTCCGATCCGTCTTGGCCCCGAGCACCGGTAAGCGGCAGCCCCAATGCACATGCCCCTGCTGTGAGCTCTCAAGAAACTATAGGGTAGCTAGCCATGGAGCTCAACAAGGTGCTGTACATGTACGCCGCCACCGTGGCCCTGCTGCTCTGCTCCGCGGTGAACTTCATCCAGAGCCCCTCCGACGTGTTCGGCCCCGTGGCGCTCCTGGAGCCGACACCCTCCGCGGCGCGCGGCTTCGGCGCCGTGGTCTCCGAGGCGCCCATCGCGGTCATGCAGCCCGGGTCCCCCGCCGACATCGCGCGGCTCCTGGGCGCGCTGTCGTCGTCCTCGGCTGGGGCGAGGGCGGCCGTGGCGGCGCGCGGCGCGGGGCACTCGCTCCACGGGCAGGCCCAGGCGCGCGCCTCGTGGAGGTGGTGCGGCGCGGGGACGGGGACGCGTACGCGGACGTGGGCGGCGGCGCGCTGTGGGTGGAGGTGCTGGAGGAGTGCCTGAGGGCCGGGCTGGCGCCGCGGTCGTGGACGGACTACCTGTACCTGACGGTGGGCGGGACGCTGTCGAACGGCGGCATCAGCGGGCAGGCGTTCAAGCACGGCCCGCAGATCAGCAACGTGCTGCAGCTGGAGGTGGTCACAGTTACGCCTAATAGTTGTTGATTCGTGAAGAAGTATTACTGGCTGATTTGTGTGAGAGAAAAATACTATTCTGGCTGAAAATTTACAATCGTTTACGATAAGCCATAGCAAAACGAACAGGCTGCATCTCTTCTTCTTCTTTTTTCCCGTCTCTCTCTCCCTTTTCTTTGGCCTGTGTTTAGTTGCGAACCAAATTTAAAAAAGTGCTACATTATTCATCACATCGAATCTTACGATCGCATGGAGCATTAAATGTAGACGAAAAAAACTAATTACATAGTTTGGTTGGAAATCGTGAGATAAACGTTTTGAGCCTAGTTAGTCTTTAATTAAACATTAATTACCAAATAAAAACAAAAGTGCTATAGTAGTTAAATTTTCAAACTTCACCCAACGAAAGTGGAAGAAGAAAGAAAGGAAGGATACGGGTGATTGGTGAGCCTTTGTTTCTTTGCTGTTGTTTATGTGTTGCTTGTCCCGTCGGTTGCAGGCACAGGGGAGGTGGTGACATGCTCACCCACCCAGAGCCCGGAGCTTTTCTTCGCCGTTCTTGGTGGGCTTGGCCACGCGTGTTTAGTTGCTAAACAAAATCTAAAAAAGTGTTATAGCACTTATCATATCGAATCTTGCGATATGTGCATGGAGTATTAAATGTAGACGAAAAAAAAACTAATTGCACAGTTTGGTTAGAAATTGCGAGACGAACGTTTTAAGCCTAATTAGTCTATGATTAAACAATATTTGCCAAATAAAAACGAATGTGCTACAGTAGCCCACCTTCCCCAATTCAGGGATATAAACACGCGCTCGGTATCATAACCAGGGCAAGGATTCCGCTGCAACTTGCTCCGCCCAAGGTACACACATATGCACACGCCCAGCCCTCAGGAATAGAAAGAGAAATCTAGAAAGCTTGGTTCATCGATAATCTCCAACGCCTTTTGTAAAACTCAAGTAGCTTTGGCCGCTAATTTTCTATGGTTGCATTGCGGTCCTGCTGATGATTAGGTGAGATGGGTGAGGGCCTGCTACGACAGCTTCGAGACGTTCACCAAGGACCAGGAGCTCCTGGTCAATGTCGGAGCTGGTGGACTACGTGGAGGGCTTCATGGTCCTGAACCAGCACGCCTACCACAGCTCCTCCGTCGCCTTCCCCGCCCCGGTCAACTTCAGCCCGGACTTCGGCTCCGGCGGTGGCAAAGCATGTTTGCTTGGCTGGTTCGTATCGTTGCTGGTTCGTGAAAAAGTACTGCTGGCTGGTTTGTGTGAGAGAAAAATAATGTTCCGACTGAAAATTTACAATCGTTTACGACAAGCCACAGCCAAACGAACAGGCTGAGGATCTACTACTACTGCATCAAGTTCGCGGTGCATGACTTCCAACAGCAAGAGTTCGCAGTTTGCATATCATCAAGTGCAGCCTAGCTTGAGGTTTAAGGTTTTGGCTTAGTAGCTTAGTTTTGTTTTTTTAACTTTACCCTTATTTTCTCTTGCTTGGCATGTTGTTATCCTCCCAGAAATGGGTTGCCAACACCAGGCGCAACATGTTGGCCCAATTGTGACAATGCCATGGCATCTCTCCTCCGATTCTCCCTCACAGGCACAGACTCACAGGGGCCTCGTAGATGTCACCTCATACGCTGTGTCCTTTCCCAGCAGGACAGCAGCACCTTTGCGTCGCTTGTCAATGGTCACACTCACTGACTCACACGTCTTTAGGCACAGTGAAGTGAAAACTATATAGCCTTTTTATTTTTCCTTTCAGAAAAGAAACTATAGTCTTTTTCTTCTTGTAAACTTTGCAATGCACAAGCACAAGACATGAAGCCAAGCCGTGTTGTCCTGGCCTGTCTACAAATTATTGGCCCGGTTGGCTGAGAGGAATCTACAAGAGGATAAACAGTGTTTTTAGCTGGAAACAATAAATTTCGGCTGAACTTTAGACCATCCAAACGGCCCCATTACAGGAGTCGGCTCTCCACAGCTACTCTACCCGGGAGTCTCCCGAATCTCTCTGTAGTAATGCCTGCTACCTTTTGCAAGTTGCAGCGCTTGCTTGCCGCAGTTGGTGTGGCGTATAAAACAGCGTGAGCTGTGAGTTGTGACCGTGAGCAGTCGCCTAGCCTTTGGCTTTTGCTACCTTGCCGCTGCACTGCTGCAGCACAGCAAGTCGCGAGGGTATTCAGTGCAGTGCAGTGCAGTCTCCTCAAATGGCAGCGCCAGTATGGGGCATCGGTGGCACCCTAGTGTGTTGAACTGTGTTCACTGTTCACATCCTTTCCCGGCAATGGTCAAGTCCTTCCTGACTGACTTTGCTAGGAGAAAGCACCGTGGTAACATTATGTTGATTGCTCCCTCTGTCTAAAAAGAATGTAATTTTTTAGTTTTCTTCCAAATCAATCTATCTCAACTTTAACTAAATAATGCATCCTAAAGTTAGTAATATTTAATGTTATTAAATAGATATCATGTGTAGTTTCTTTTAGGTGGTGTTTAAATACAAGAGCTAAAGTTTAGGGGTGTCACATCGGGTATCACATAGGAGTGTCGTATAGAAGTGTTCGGATAGTAATAATAAAACAAATTACAGAAGCAAATTTATTAAGCCTAATTAATCCATGATTAGCACATGTTCACTGTAGCATCATGTTATCAAATCATGGACTAATAAGGCTTAAAAAATTCGTCTCGCAAATTAGTCGCAATCTGTTGAATTAGTTATTTTTTAGTCTATATTTAATACTCCATGCAGTGTTCAAACATCCGATGATATAGAGACTAAACTTTAGTGGAGGAACTAAACAAGGCCTTAATTTTGTTTGCTTGTGGGCAGCATAGATGGATGACTTCGGGAGGCATGATTGATAGGCATATGTTGCTGATCTGGAAAAGCAATATCCCACTCGAGGTTAAGATTTTTATGTGGATGGCGTCTCATGATAGAATCCAGTGTGCAGTCCAGTTAAAGAAGAAGAAGTGGTCAGGGGCCGAGGAATGTTTCACATGCGGCAAACTTGAATCCTCAGATCATATTCTATTCCAATGCCCGCTAGTTGTGTTCCCTTTAGCCTTTTATGAGAGATTGCTTGGGCTGGGAGACTTCTCCAGTCAGTTGCGATTCCTTTTTTCGAGAGATCGTGGACAAATGTAGAGGTGTAAAGCAGGGGGTGACTTTGTTCTTATGTGCAAGTGCGTTGTGGACAATTTGGAAAGTTCGTGACGACGTGGTGTTCAACAAGAAGCTGATATCCTCCCCGATGGTGCTCATATACAAAACAATCACACTCGTGAACACTTGGAGCCCTCTCCTGAAGCCAAAGTTGAAGCCCCTGGCGGACGAAATGATTCTAATGGTTTCAACAAGCACTGCTTCTATGTAACTGATCTTCGCGTGTTACGCTCTCAGTTTCTGGTGTTAGCATGACTTTTGTAATTTGTCTAAACTTCTGTTAGAGGTATTTGTCGAGTTGGTTCTAGTTAAGTCACTCTTTGAAATGTTTGAACTCTTTTTGTAAGCTGGTGTTCCTAGCATCGGATCATTGGCTTGATAAGCTTTCAATAAAGCCGGGCAATGCCTCTAATCTAAAAAAAACCTTTGTTATGCTGGCACCACATTACTCATATGTCATGGCCTGGCTACGCAAGGTTGTATGTGTCAGGGGTGCGCGTGCGGACACGTGGTTTGCCTTACATACCGAACATATAAGATGATAACATAACTCCTATTACTAGAGGTGCTCTAAAGCTGACCTTCATGTACAATTACAACGGGCACGTTGCAGTCCTATTACGATTTAGGTTATGCATAGGACCATCAACTGTAGAGCCCGCATATCTACATGTACTGTTTAGGACTGCTTCTCAAACTCTATCGTCGAGTAGCCCTATAAAAAACTAGAGTTTTTAGAGCGCCTTTTTAGATGCTCTTATAACTTCATTTTTTTTTCTAGAACATAGTTTGTAGAGTTATACCTATTTGGCTAAGAAATATAAAACGAAGCTAAAATACTCCGTATATGGAGCAGTGTAGTCCTAAATAGGCCTATATCCAGGGCTATGTATTGTAGCGTGGTTGAAGCGGTGACAATCTAGGATTTATAAATTAGTCAAATTTTAAAATATTTAACTCAAATAGTTTTAAATTTGGCTTAAAATCAGACGTGTAATTATGTTGAGAGAGCGTTTAGCGGTACGCAGCAGCAGTACTATCCATCAAGGGATTCTGCTGGCTGCTGCTGTGCTGCATGTAGTCAGCGTCAAAAGATTTGTCCCCTGTGTAGGGCGCCTGCCACTGGCTAGACCATCATTTCCAAACTCCTATTGGCTTTGGGCTATGGGCTATGGGCCTACGAGTATGGCTGCAAGTCGTCAGTAGGAAAAATACAGAAACCGTGACTGTTTGGCGCTTGTTCCGTTGCAAGTCCCCATTTGTATTGTAAAAACGCACGATCCTTGTTAGGGCGTTTCTAGTGTTCTTTTTAAATCACTAGCTCGCTCATATGAAAGTTTAAAAGGATAAAATATCTAACATATATACTAGTATAAAATATCATGTAATGTAAGTATACACATATTGCCTCTCCTCCCCAAAATAAGTGTACTTTTAGGACGTGGAGAGGAAAACCAATGTTACTATGAAATTATATATATATATATATATATATATATATATATATATATATACACCCATATCAAAAGTATACCAACATATAATTAATGTACTTTGAAAATGAAAAAAGTAGTACATTTAGGTGGTCCATCTTAAAAGTACTCTTATAATTGACAAATTTTGAATGCCAAAAGTCTATTTATTTTGAGATAGAAAGAGTAAATCATTGAAAATTAATTGTTTTTGTCTTTCTTTCTTGCTAAATAAAATATGCTATGAGATACTCTTCCCGTTTCAAATTACAAGACGTTTTGTATTTTTCTAAATACATTGATTTTTGTATATATCTGGACATGGTGTATATCTATATGTATAACAAACAGCCTGTTCGGGAGGCCGTAAACGATCGTGGATTATTTACTGCTGGTTGGTTCGGTGTGAGAGAAAAACACTGTTCCCGACTGAAAATTTACGATCGTTTACGAACAAGCGAACAGGCTGAAAAGCAACGTATTTAAAAAAGGCAAAACGTCTTATAATTTGAGACGGATTAGCTCCTTGTGTTACTGTTGAGCCAACTTTACTTGCACTAGCGGAGCCTTTTGGAGGGGCTGTTCCCCCTCTCGTGTGAAAGTGAACATGTATAGCTCCCTGTTTTTTTTATCTCCTCCCGTCGGATCAATCTTCAGACATCCAAGTCTCTGACCACGCATGCCTCTAGAATCTCCCGATGGCATGCCTTTGTATTGCCTGCCTCGAAAGAAAGGCTTCTTTGCAAGGTGAGATCTACTGTAGTTGTCTCCCCTTGCTTTTACGATTTTACAGTACGGCCTTGTTTAGTTAAAAACTTTTCTCATAAAGTGCTACAGTAGTTATCACATTGAATCTTACGATATGTGCATGGAGCATTAAATGTTGACGAAAAAAACAAATTACATAGTTTGGTTGGAAATTACGAGACGAACGTTTTGAGCCTAATTAGTCTATGATTGAACACTAATTGCCAAATAAAAACGAAAGTGCTACAGTAACCCAATTTTCAAAATTTGACCAACTAAATAAGACCTACCTCACACTCCGCCACTGTTTACTTAGGGCTTTTTGTGACGGCTTCGCTCTATGTTTTTCAGCTCCTTTCACGTTTTTTAGTCAAACGGTTTCAGCTCTACGCACTCTGTTGGAAGAAAAATGGTAGAGTTGTACGATCACCTAAAGAGGTACTCCACAAACTCTAGTTTTTTGTGGAGCTGCTCCACAGTAAAATTGTGGAGCAGAGTTTATGGGGGCAGTCTCAAACACGCTCGTTTGGTGTAAAAGCCACATGCTACTGTTTTTATCGATTTGGATTCAAATATAGCCTTTATTTAAGTTGCAGTTACTAGAAACCGCTAGGACTATAATTTGGACACCTACTAATTTCACTAAAAGAATCGCCTGTGAGGGCATGGATATAAGCCTTGTCACACTGAGAAGCTGTTCGGCTAATGGTTTCTGCGGCTAATAAGTCAG